AGACAGGAAGTGGGAAGCAGGGAGAGGGTGGCCTTGCTCCTTTAATAACCACCTGTTTTGTAGGAACCAAGTGAGTTCCTGAGAACACAAAGGGAGTCCTCCTGAGGGCAGCGCCCTGCAGACCTCCCACCTCCACTACAGCCCCCTCCTAGGGTCCCACCATCACGGGCAGCCCGGCCTCCAGCGGGGGGGGTCTTGGGGGCAAGACACACCCTGCTCAGCACCGGTGTAGGCTGCTGAGCTGCCTTTGCCAGACACCTGTCCCTGCTGGGCGGCTGGAGAGGCAGCTGGCTCTTCTCTAAGACCTTTGCTGGATTTTTGATTGGGGGTTTAATTTTCTGTCTGTTTTTGGTGCTGGATGGAAGCCAGGCCTTGGGCATGCTGAGCACGCACCCCCCCCCAAAGAGCCGCACCCCAGCCTCTCTTGGACTGGTGTCACTGACAGAAGCGCCCCTAGAGTTCACCTGCAAGGTGACTCAGACACTTTTCAGGCTCCCTGAAACCTYGTCACATACTTGGCTGGTGGCCTCGCAGGTCCTGGGCTGCTAGACGCCACAGCCTGACCACCAGTTGTCGCTGATGTGAGCCTGCGTCCACGGCGGCCCCAGAGCCAGCCCTGCTGCCACACTGACCCAGCGGGGTCTCCCACTCCTCATCCGGGCAGGGTGTCAGGAGCTGCAGTGCGTGAAGCCCGGGAGGACTGAGACCATCAAGGGAATGGCATGTCCCAGGCCCCACTCACCCTGCCCTGAGTAAGCTGTGCCTGAGGCTGAAGGTGGGAACCGCCCACAGGGTGGACATAGCCTTTTCTCCTCGCCTCTGCAGGTGACCATGGCTTAACAGCTGYGTGGTGGGGCGCCTGTCGAACTCAGCAAAGCCTTCCTCTGAGACACAGAGGGAAGCTGCTTGATGGACACCTGCTGGCAGCAGAGGAAGGACCCCACTTTCTGCTAATGATATCACAGTGATCCCTAAGAGGACTGTGGCTGGGCTCAGTGTAAGAGCAGCTCCCAGCAGGTGCAAGGCCCTGGGTTCCAAACCCAGCAGGCAAGCAACATATAGTCATGGTGGCACAAGCTCATCTCAGTGTCTCAGGAGGCTGAGGCAGGAGGCTCTCAAGTTGGAGGCCAGTCTCAACAACTTAGTGAGATCCTCAACAGTTCAGTGAGATCCTGTCTCAAAAAATAAAAAGGACTGAGGGTGCTGCTCAGTGGAAAAGTGCCCCTGGTTTCAATATCCAGTAGCAAAAATAAAAATCCTTGAAAGAGAGAGAGAGAGAGAGAGAGAGAGAGAGAAAAGCAGAGGGCTAGGGGTGTGGCTCAGTGGTAGAGGTCTTGCCTGGCACGCACCAGGCCCTGGGTTCCAACCCCAGTACCACAAAACAAACCATGCAAGGTGGCACACACCTGCAGGCCCAGCACTGAGAAGCCAAGGCAGGAGGACTGCAAGTTCAAGTTCAAGACCAGTTTGGGCAACTTGGTGAGACCCTGTCTCAAAAATAAAATAAAAAAGGGCTGGGTCACTTTATCAGTGAAAAAGTACCCCAGGTTCAATCCCAGCAGGGCAATAAATAAATAAGTAACAAGTGTGCTCTAATCCCTGGGGTTTACTGCAGCCTTAGCAGAGCCACAAGTGGAGGGAAGCCCATCTCTTCTGTTCTGATGAGGCACACGCCAGGCCTGACAGAGCTCGGAGACAATGACATGACTGAAGGGAGCTAATGCCCATCCCAAGAACATTCTCCCAAGAAGCAGTCCCCACATTCTAATCAGGCTAAAGACTGCAGGGAATGAGTCTGTACTCCAGCATAAAATCTGCTGGAGGCTACGGTGGTGACCTCCTTTCCTATCACCTCTAAGGTACCAGGGCATTTATTTAGATCACAGATTTTATATAGTAATTAACTTCTGCTTTTTTAAAAATATTTTTTAGTTGTTGATGGATCTTTATTTGGTGTATATGTATGTGGTGCTGAGAATCGAACCCAGTGCCTCTTGCATACTAGGCAAGCGCTCTACCACTGAGCCCTAGCCCAACTTCTGCTCTTCTAAAACTGGAAATGTAAACTAAAACTAAATAAAAATAAAAATAAAAATAAACAGAACCCAAACTCGCCAGCCCCCTGGACATCCCAGCTGTCCCAGGACTCCCTCCTCCTCTGTGCGATACTTCACTGGAGCAAAGCAAACCTCCAGAACAGGGTCAGCCCTCCGCAGCATGGGGGTCAAATCAGGAGGCCGCCTGGTTCTGTGAATAAAATGTCACTAGAACACGGCCACACTCACTCCTTTGCCTTCCTGCAGCCATGTGTCAAGGACCCCATGGCCCGAGGTCAAAAGTACTGACAGTTCACACAAACTGAGTTTGTCACTTACCCCTGGAAGGTCATCTGCTCCATCTAGTAAATCTCTGAGATCTTGAAAGAGAAGCCTGGTTGAGTCTTTAACATTTATTTCAATGTTTTCTTTTCCAAAGCTCCATTCTTYGGGTTTCTGAGGGCTTGGTTTTAGCTACCAAGTTCTGGAGGTGCCTTCTCCCACTCAGCTCAGGTCTACAGGGTATGAAGCTACAAACTCAAGTGCACCTGTTCACCACTCGATTAAAATGGGTGACAACTTACACTGGGTGCACGAAGGGGACTCAAGACACAAAGGAGGATAGAATCCAACTCCTGTGCTCTCGAGCGAGGCAGGCTGCATACCCAGGGCAGAATCACAGGCAACAGAGGCAAGAGAGAGCGGGACACCCCGTCCAGGGCACATGGGGACAGTGAGCAACTGTGGGGGGCGAGGGAAATGAAGGCACCTTCCAAGCTCTGCAGYCCGAGGAGGAGGGAAGGGACTGTGCAGGCTGAGGCCCTGGGCTCAGGGCAGCAGACCTCAGGGGCTAAGCAACACACAGGAAGGGCAGGGCAGGGTGCAGCTCAGCAGGGGAGTGCCTGCTGGGCCTGCCCAAGGCCCTGGGTTCAATCCCAGCACTTGGGGGAAAAAAATCAGGAAGGCCGGAAGAACCAGGATGCACTCTGAATTGTTTATCACTGCAAATCACCACCAAGAAAAAAGGAAAAAGTCTGCTCAAGTCGTTCASCTGCAGCTGTGAGCTGTCTCTAACTGGCCAATTTCCAATTTCATACCCAGACATCTGTTTAACTTTAAAATTATCAGCACAAAAATAAAACATCTTTTTTTTTTCCTTAAAACACACAAAGGTCGACTCACATGCTTTTATAGAATGGCTATTATCAAAAAGACAAAAATAGCTAGGCTTGTAATCCCAGCTACTTGGGAGGCTGAGGCAGGACTGAAAGTTGGAGGTCAGCTTGGGCAAAGGAGGAAGAAGCGCACCCAAAATAAAATTACAAAGAAAGGGCTGGGAGTGGCGCTCAGTGGTGGAGCGTTTGCTTAGCACGTGTGAGGCACTGGGTTCCACCCCAGGACACACATACGTTTTAAAAAAGAAGAAAAATGTACAATGCTGGTAGGAATTCCAAAAGAGGGGAACGCATACACTGTTGGTGGGATTGTGAAGTAGTACAGCCACTGTGGGAAACAGTATGGAGGCTCCCCCCAAATCTGGAAACAGAAACCCGATATGGTCCATATGCTCCAGCAATCCTACTGCTCGGTGCACATCCGAAAGATCAGAATCTGCAYTTGTATTGCAATTCTACAGCACCGCTGGCAATAACTGGAATAAGGAACCCTTCCAGATGTGGAACAGGAGATGGTGTTTAAAGGAAATGGGCACATATACACACTGGAATATTATTCAGTCATGAGGAAGGACGTTCCATCACTTGCAGCACCACGGATGGAATTGGAAGACTATGTTAAGTGAAATGGGCCAAGCACGGAAAGGAATGTTCTTAGATTTCACAGTAGACAGCAGAGRCTGGCAAGAGTGTGGGAGGAGGGACAGAGGGACGGCCAACAGTAGGTGGATGTAAGRAATAACTTCCAATGCTCTGTAGCACAGAAGCTTAATTACGGTTGACAACAGCTGTGTATTTTAAAACAGCAGAGAATCCCGAATGTTCCTAATACAGAAAGGATAAGTACTTGGGGTGAAGTCATTCACCCTGATCTGGTCATCACCACACTCTGCAGACACGTATGAAAAGGTCACACTGTACCCCTAAACAAATACAATTATGCGTCAATTAAGAACAGGGCTGGGGATACAGCGCAGCTGGTAGAGCSCCTGCCCCGCAGGCACAGGCCTTGGTTCCGTCCCCAGCACCACAAAACAAACAAAAGGAACACAAAGGACAAACAGCATGGGCTTGGAGCGGACAACACAGCCCCGGAGGCTTCTGTCCCCCTGAAACTCGAAGCCGGAACCGCTCCTGGCTTGAGCCTTTCCCTTCCCGGGTCGGCCCAGGCTCGCGGCCGTCAACCAGCTCCCCGGTCGCCCGGCGCGCAGCAGACCCAGACAAAACCACCTGGGAGCAACTGACGCCAGGGGCGGAGCCCGAGCAACGACGACGGCCCCGCCTCCCCATCCGGCCAATCAGGCGCGTCGGCACGCAGCGCAGGCGCCYCTCGTACGCCAGGCGGAGCGTGACCTCGCGCGCACCGCGGCCTGGCGAGTCTCTACCCCCACCCCCGCCCTCGCCCAGCCAATCAGAGGGGAGAGGGCCGCGCGCTGCGTGCGTGCGTGCGTGCGGCCGCGTCCCCGCCGCAGGGCTCCCGCCCCACCCCCACTCCCGGCCTGCCTGCGGGGATGGGGTTCGGGGCGCGCCTGGGGGCCGGGGCGGCCGAGGGCTCGCGCCCGCCGTGCGCTGACCTCCCCCGCCTTCGGGAGCGGGACTGAGGCGGGCGCGCGCTCCGCGGCGGCGGCGAGGCTGGATACGCACCTGGGGACGCGGGATGCGCGCTGCCGCGGGGTCCTGAACCGGGGGCGGCGGCCGGCAGGCGTGCGGGCGGCGGCCCTGGCTCGCGCTGCTGTGCGCGTCCGTCCCCTTCCCCGCGCCCCTTTTTGTTTGCGTCCGGAGGCGGCCTTGCGCGCGTGTCCGCAGCGCCCCAAGTGGGCGGCGCCGCTTCCGGTGCTCKCGTCCCGCCAGCTGCCCGACCGCGCTGCCTGGCGCCCTGCCGCAAGCCCCGAGGAAGGCCGCCTGTGGTCGGTCTCTGCCCGGGCGTGCCCGCCAGGCCTCGGCCGCCCGCCAGGCCCCTCCGCTCGACGTCGCAGTCGCGGCGTTCGGATTAGGTTGCGGTCCCCGAGGGTCGGCGGGCCGTTTACCCGTTGCCTAGATGTAACGTCGCGCCTCGTTGACACTTTCAGGAAACCTCACGATGCGTGCACAGCTGAACGGAACTGTCCCCCCCAAATGAGAGATGGGGTCTTCCTGTGCGGCTCCGGTGGCCTCAAGCCATCCTCCCGCCGCAGCCTGCCGAGGRGCCAGGACCGCAGGCGTCCCCCCAGGCCGTGCGACGACGCTCCTCCTGTCCTCGTCCCTGGCGGCAGCTTCCCAGGTCCACGTGCACGTGCTAAGGTGCATGTTTCTTTTGCAAAGAGACAGGGGCTCCCGCRTTGCTAGCATTTCTTTCTAGTGGCTGTCGAGGATTTATTTACTAGAAGATGCCCTCCCCCCCCAAAAAAAAAAAAAAAAAGTTATTTCAAAGCAAAGACAACAACCGAGCAGTTTGTCGGGGAAGGTGTCTGCTCTTTATGCATTTTAACAAGAGCTGTTTGCAAAGCTTTTATTAGTTACAGTCCATCCTGATTCACAGCTGTTCCCTGAAGTCCTGGGACCCTTGCTCCTAGAGATCTGGGCGTCAGAACTGGATGGGGCCTTTCTGTGAACCTGCTAATACATGTGTTTGTGGGTTTCTATGGAAGGACTCTAGTCAATGTGCATTGTTGACCCTGAACTTAGAGCCCAAAGCACTGTAATTCATGCCACATCCAGTCCATCTCTTTCTCGGTAGGCGGTAGGCCACATCGCAGCAAAGCCCTGAAATCTGTCTGTCTCTGTCACACACACATACACGCAAGAAAAGTATGTGGGAAAATGTAACATTAACTAGACCAAGAAGCAAATCTTGTTTGTAGTTTAGAGGAAGACAGAGCCTCCCCTCTGTGACCTCTGCTGCGCACCTGCAAGGCGAGCACCTCACCCCTGGGCAGGTCTTCGAATGCCTGGGGAAGCACCAGTAAACTGTAGGCAAATCCATCAATGCAGAATTCAGATAATGAGGATTAACTGTATTGCCAAAAATTATCAGAGGACAAAACTTTTATATTTCTCTACTTAGACCTGGACGTGATGGCCTAAT